GTATTATAAACATCTATTTACTCAGAGCAATATAATGGATGAAAAGACAATACTCGATATAATTGATAGACATTGTAAACTATGCAGTGATACCACGCTGATTCGCCCTATCATTAACTATAACAAATCTCATACAGCTTCCCTCATTATGAGAAATAACATTTCTGCCTCCCTCTTACCAACTGATTATATCTATACAAGTGGAATGCTGGCGACTGTGTGCTCCAGACTGTATGCTGTATTAGACACACTACAAATACTCAGAGTAGGCGTCTTAGACTTCCAAAGGCGTAGGAATTAAGCAACACCACTCTCGATAACACAATGCCTTCCCAATCTCTAGGACATTGTAAAGAACACCACAATCACCACCCACATCAGGGAGCGATTACATCTACAAGCTACATCTTCTAAGGCGATATTCAACAAGCACAAGAGGCTATATTAAACAAACACTCGAGATTATATTCATTCTAGTTCTGATCTCATTAATTAACACCGAAATGAATTTAATATTGAACATGCAATTGTTTGATGGCCCTCCTTTGACCCAGATGGTCATTGCTCTCTAATATTTTTAGTTATGAATGTAAAGAGGGTCCAAGCTGTGGGGGAGGGAAGTAGGGGGAGTGGGGGGGGAGTAGGGGAGGAGGACGGAGTAGGGGGAGAGGCAGGAGTGGGGGAGGACGATGGAAGGGAGGGGGAAGGGGTGTGACTGTCATTTAATATTATAAAGTCATTGAGACACTTAATCTTTGTATGCTTCTATTTATATTGTGGGACAGAGAGAGATGGAGACGAATAGCGATAATGAAAATACTGGGACGTAGAGGTGGAGTGAGGGAGAGAACGACGGACACTCTTGGGATACTCTGGGACAGTCAAGGTCTGGGGATACTCTGGGACAGTCAAGGTCTGGGGATACTCTGGGACAGTCTGGGACAGTCAAGGTCTGGGGATACTCTGGGACAGTCTGGGACAGTCAAGGTCTGGGGATACTCTGGGACAGTCTGGGACAGTCAAGGTCTGGGGATACTCTGGGACAGTCTGGGACAGTCAAGGTCTGGGGATACTCTGGGACAGTCTGGGACAGTCAAGGTCTGGGGATACTCTGGGACAGTCAAGGTCTGGGGATACTCTGGGATACTCTGGGACAGTCAAGGTCTGGGGATACTCTGGGACAGTCTGGGACAGTCAAGGTCTGGGGATACTCTGGGACAGTCAAGGTCTGGGGATACTCTGGGATACTCTGGGACAGTCAAGGTCTGGGGATACTCTGGGACAGTCTAGGACAGTCAAGGTCTGGGGATACTCTGGGACAGTCAAGGTCTGGGGATACTCTGGGACAGTCAAGGTCTGGGGATACTCTGGGACAGTCAAGGTCTGGGGATACTCTGGGACAGTCAAGGTCTGGGGATACTCTGGGACAGTCAAGGTCTGGGGATACTCTGGGACTGTCAAGGTCTGGGGATACTCTGGGACAGTCTGGGACAGTCAAGGTCTGGGGATACTCTGGGACAGTCTAGGACAGTCAAGGTCTGGGGATACTCTGGGACAGTCAAGGTCTGGGGATACTCTGGGACAGTCAAGGTCTGGGGATACTCTGGGACAGTCAAGGTCTGGGGATACTCTGGGACAGTCAAGGTCTGGGGATACTCTGGGACAGTCAAGGTCTGGGGATACTCTGGGACTGTCAAGGTCTGGGGATACTCTGGGACAGTCTGGGACAGTCAAGGTCTGGGGATACTCTGGGACAGTCTGGGACAGTCAAGGTCTGGGGATACTCTGGGACAGTCTGGGACAGTCAAGGTCTGGGGATACTCTGGGACAGTCTGGGACAGTCAAGGTCTGGGGATACTCTGGGACAGTCAAGGTCTGGGGATACTCTGGGACAAGGTCTGGGGATACTCTGGGACAGTCAAGGTCTGGGGATACTCTGGGACAGTCTGGGACAGTCAAGGTCTGGGGATACTCTGGGACAGTCAAGGTCTGGGGATACTCTGGGACAGTCTGGGACAGTCAAGGTCTGGGGATACTCTGGGACAGTCTGGGACAGTCAAGGTCTGGGGATACTCTGGGACAGTCAAGGTCTGGGGATACTCTGGGACAGTCAAGGTCTGGGGATACTCTGGGACAGTCAAGGTCTGGGGATACTCTGGGACAGTCAAGGTCTGGGGATACTCTGGGACAGTCAAGGTCTGGGGATACTCTGGGACAGTAGGTCTGGGATACTCTGGGACAGTCAAGGTCTGGGGATACTCTGGGACAGTCAAGGTCTGGGGATACTCTGGGACAGTCAAGGTCTGGGGATACTCTGGGACAGTCTGGGACAGTCAAGGTCTGGGGATACTCTGGGACAGTCAAGGTCTGGGGATACTCTGGGACAGTCAAGGTCTGGGGATACTCTGGGACAGTCAAGGTCTGGGGATACTCTGGGACAGTCAAGGTCTGGGGATACTCTGGGACAGTCAAGGTCTGGGGATACTCTGGGACAGTCAAGGTCTGGGGATACTCTGGGACAGTCAAGGTCTGGGGATACTCTGGGACAGTCAAGGTCTGGGGATACTCTGGGACAGTCAAGGTCTGGGGATACTCTGGGACAGTCAAGGTCTGGGGATACTCTGGGACAGTCAAGGTCTGGGGATACTCTGGGACAGTCAAGGTCTGGGGATACTCTGGGACAGTCAAGGTCTGGGGATACTCTGGGACAGTCTGGGGATACTCTGGGACAGTCAAGGTCTGGGGATACTCTGGAACAGTCAAGGTCTGGGGATACTCTGGGACAGTCAAGGCCTGGGGATACTCTGGGACAGTCAAGGCCTGGGGATACTCTGGGACAGTCAAGGTCTGGGGATACTCTGGGACAGTCAAGGTCTGGGGATACTCTGGGACAGTCAAGGTCTGGGGATACTCTGGGACAGTCAAGGTCTGGGGATACTCTGGGACAGTCAAGGTCTGGGGATACTCTGGGACAGTCAAGGTCTGGGGATACTCTGGGACAGTCAAGGTCTGGGGATACTCTGGGACAGTCAAGGTCTGGGGATACTCTGGGACAGTCAAGGTCTGGGGATACTCTGGGACAGTCAAGGTCTGGGGATACTCTGGGACAGTCAAGGTCTGGGGATACTCTGGGACAGTCAAGGTCTGGGGATACTCTGGGACAGTCAAGGTCTGGGGATACTCTGGGACAGTCAAGGTCTGGGGATACTCTGGGACAGTCAAGGTCTGGGGATACTCTGGGACAGTCAAGGTCTGGGGATACTCTGGGACAGTCAAGGTCTGGGGATACTCTGGGGACTCTGGGACTCTGGGACAGTCAAGGTCTGGGGATACTCTGGGACAGTCAAGGTCTGGGGATACTCTGGGACAGTCAAGGTCTGGGGATACTCTGGGACAGTCAAGGTCTGGGGATACTCTGGGACAGTCAAGGTCTGGGGATACTCTGGGACAGTCAAGGTCTGGGGATACTCTGGGACAGTCTGGGACAGTCAAGGTCAAGGGGGATACTCTGGGACAGTCAAGGTCTGGGGGGGATACTCTGGGACAGTCAAGGTCTGGGGATACTCTGGGACAGTCAAGGTCTGGGGATACTCTGGGACAGTCAAGGTCAACAGTCTGGGACAGTCTGGGGATACTCTGGGACAGTCAAGGTCTGGGACAGTCAAGGTCTGGGGACTCTGGGACACTCTGGGACAGTCAAGGTCTGGGGATACTCTGGGACAGTCAAGGTCTGGGGATACTCTGGGACAGTCAAGGTCTGGGGATACTCTGGGACAGTCAAGGTCTGGGGATACTCTGGGACAGTCAAGGTCTGGGGATACTCTGGGACAGTCAAGGTCTGGGGATACTCTGGGACAGTCAAGGTCTGGGGATACTCTGGGACAGTCAAGGTCTGGGGATAGGTCTGGGGATACTCTGGGACAGTCAAGGTCTGGGGATACTCTGGGACAGTCAAGGATACTCTGGGACTGGGGATACTCTGGGACAGTCAAGGCCTGGGGATACTCTGGGACAGTCAAGGCCTGGGGATACTCTGGGACAGTCAAGGTCTGGGGATACTCTGGGACAGTCAAGGTCTGGGGATACTCTGGGACAGTCAAGGTCTGGGGATACTCTGGGACAGTCAAGGTCTGGGGATACTCTGGGACAGTCAAGGTCTGGGGATACTCTGGGACAGTCTGGGGATACTCTGGGACAGTCAAGGTCTGGGGATACTCTGGGACAGTCAAGGTCTGGGGATACTCTGGGACAGTCAAGGTCTGGGGATACTCTGGGACAGTCTGGGGATACTCTGGGACAGTCAAGGTCTGGGGATACTCTGGAACAGTCAAGGTCTGGGGATACTCTGGGACAGTCAAGGCCTGGGGATACTCTGGGACAGTCAAGGCCTGGGGATACTCTGGGACAGTCAAGGTCTGGGGATACTCTGGGACAGTCAAGGTCTGGGGATACTCTGGAACAGTCAAGGTCTGGGGATACTCTGGGACAGTCAAGGCCTGGGGATACTCTGGGACAGTCAAGGCCTGGGGATACTCTGGGACAGTCAAGGTCTGGGGATACTCTGGGACAGTCAAGGTCTGGGGATACTCTGGGACAGTCAAGGTCTGGGGATACTCTGGGACAGTCTGGGGGATACTCTGGGACAGTCAAGGTCTGGGGATACTCTGGGACAGTCAAGATCTGGGGATACTCTGGGACAGTCAAGGTCTGGGGATACTCTGGGACAGTCAAGATCTGGGGATACTCTGGGACAGATTCTGGCCCCTATTTTCCAATATAAATTTCTTCATTTAAACCTTCAAAATTTCCTAGCACTCCAGAGTGCTGAGTTCAGAGAAGTACATAACCAACATTTCTGTACCTCACCTCCGCCCCGGTCTCCAGTTCCCATACCTGGACTATCTGTTGAAATGACTTCCTGTGTGGCTCTGAATCAAAGGCCCAATTCCCGGCATATCCAACGCGCTTATCAGCCCTCGAGATTAACCTGGAATGCTTACTGGAAAATCTGGAAAGTGAGGGTGAAACGGAGTGTGATGTTCAGGTGTCGTGGAAGGTCTATAAATAATGCTGAAACGGAAAAATGAGGAAATTAAAATAACTGAATATACTGGACAATGGAATGCGTAAGCGGAAATTTGTGGGAATATTTTTTTAAATGTCAAAAAATGAATGCGTGAGCTTGTGTTGACCACATTCATGTGATTTAGTGTGGTTTTATGATCATATTTGTGTATGTTTTCTCCAGTAAGCATATGTTCTGCACGCATGTGTTTTCCAGAGCGGATATATTCTTCCACGTGAATATATTTTCACGTGTGGCTTTGTTCTCCTCTGTACATATGCTCTCCTATATGCGTATGTGCGCATACTCTCCTCCGTGAGTATACTCTGATGCTGGTGAGTAACCACGAGGTCTCCTGCGGCCACTTGTTACCTAAGGGAATAATATTGACAGCAGAAACGACCTACGGTCTCGAAACTGTCTACTTGGAGATCCACAGTTACTCGTCCTCAAATGTCAACAGTCTTGGAAGATGAAATGGGTTACCTTCCTTGTGTCTACCTTGTCTAGCTTCCGGGGATCAACGGCCCCGGGCCCGGTCTCCGACCAATCGAAGTTTGGTCAACCAGACTGATCTGGTCAACTTCCCTAACCTGGTATGAATCACAGCCGGGTTGATCACGTATTCTTTGGCTAGTGGAATTTTATTTATAAGTGCACGACTGTATTAGTACCAGCTGTTTCAAACACGCAGTTCTGGTGTCTCCAAGATCACCAGTTGGTCACTCAAGATGGCACTTGAAAACCTGTTAAATCTTTTAGGTTCCGGCACAAGAACCGTCCAGGAGTGAATAAGGAGGTGGGATGTTAGGGTTGGATCACCTTGTTTCGTGTACACCTGTCAGTCATTGACCGTTTAGAGGCTGGAGCAAAAAGCCGTAGTTCAACCCTCACAAGAACAATTAAGTGAGCTATTAGGTGTGAACTTACTAGAGCAGACAACATTGCTTGGATTGTTTGTATTATACTATTTTATGGTCAAATTTACGTCAACTAATGTCAATTATGTTAATATATATGGACACGGTGAAGTATATTGTGGCGTGGTAGTTGAGGTAGTGTGTGTGTGGGGAAGGGTGAACACAAGACACCCACCTCATGGGTTGTTATAGTGGTACTGTGCTGGTTGTCTCACAACCACGCGGGACCACACTAAGGTCCTCACACAACCACGCGGGACCACACTGAGGTCCTCACACAACCACGCGGGACCACACTGAGGTCCTCACACAACCACGCGGGACCACACTGAGGTTCTCACACAACCACGCGGGACCACACTGAGGTTCTCACACAACCTCGCGGGACCACACTGAGGTCCTCACACAACCACGCGGGACCACACTGAGGTCCTCACACAACCACGCGGGACCACACTGAGGTCCTCACACAACCACGCGGGACCACACTGAGGTTCTCACACAACCACGCGGGACCACACTGAGGTCCTCACACAACCACGCGGGACCACACTGAGGTTCTCACACAACCTCGCGGGACCACACTGAGGTCCTCACACAACCATGCGGGACCACACTGAGGTCCTCACACAACCATGCGGGACCACACTGAGGTCCTCACACAACCACGCGGGACCACACTGAGGTCCTCACACAACCACGCGGGACCACACTGAGGTCCTCACACAACCACGCGGGACCACACTGAGGTCCTCACACAACCACGCGGGACCACACTGAGGTCCTCACACAACCACGCGGGACCACACTGAGGTCCTCACACAACCATGCGGGACCACACTGAGGTCCTCACACAACCACGCGGGACCACACTGAGGTCCTCACACAACCACGCGGGACCACACTAAGGTCCTCACACAACCTTCCTCATCCACCAACCACAGTACTTTCGCCCTAAACAAAGCCCAGATTTCCATTCACCGGGGCTCTAGGAGACTCGAACAGTTTAATAAGGAAAGTCTTCTAGAGCCCACGTGAACGAAATGTTTATTTCCACAGAAGTGTGGAACTTCCCACTTAGAAGCCCAGGTCTAAAGTAAACTGTTTACTTACACCGGTATATGAGGTATACCTCTCGGTGTATATCCCTCATATGAGCAATGGAGAATTGGCCTCCCGGAGCAGCGGTGTGACGTGCTGTGTCTCCGTCGGCCGTCATGTCAGTTTACCTTTTGCTGGCTAACCTGCTTTCTTTTTATTTTTCTTAGTTTGAGAATGTAAGGATTATCCAAGGTGACCGGAGCCAGGCACTTAGTATTGATATTATTGTTAGGTTCCTTGTATATTATGAGGTTCCTTGTATATTATGAGGTTCCTTGTATATTATGAGGTTCCTTGTATATTATGAGGTTCCTTGTATATTATGAGGTTCCTTGTATATTATGAAACTCATGCTCTATGGGGAATAAAATAGGATTGAACTTGTATTTATTGATAAATGACAAGACGTTAAATTATTTTCAAAACATCTTCTACAAATTATTGTTTATGTTTCATTTAACAAGGTTTTGATATTGTATGTGTAAATTGCACTGTGTGTGGTACCGAACCATCGATTAGTAAATTAGGGTTATATGTTAAATTTAAATTGTGTTTTCCTCTTCTTATTGGTATTGTGTTTCTGTCCTTCGTAAGATCTTTCCTGAGACACCAACCTTTGTGTCTAGTGTCCTTGTCCTTCCTGGGAACTCTCCTGAGACGCTAACTTTTGTGTATAGCGTCCTTGACCTTCCTGGGAACTCTCCTGAGACGCTAACTTTTGTGTCTAGTGTCCTTGTCCTTCCTGGGAACTCCCCTGAGACGCTAACTTTTGTGTCTAGTGTCCTTGTCCTTCCTGGGAACTCCCCTGAGACGCTAACTTTTGTGTATAGCGTCCTTGACCTTCCTGGGAACTCTCCTGAGACGCTAACTTTTGTGTATAGCGTCCTTGACCTTCCTGGGAACTCTCCTGAGACGCTAACCTTTGTGTATAGCGTCCTTGACCTTCCTGGGAACTCTCCTGAGACGCTAACCTTTGTGTATAGCGTCCTTGACCTTCCTGGGAACTCTCCTGAGACGCTAACTTTTGTGTATAGCGTCCTTGTCCTTCCTGGGAACTCTCCTGAGACACCAACCTTTGTGTATAGCGTCCTTGACCTTCCTGGAAACTCTCCTGAGACACCAACCTTTGTGTATAGCGTCCTTGACCTTCCTGGGAACTCTCCTGAGACACCAACCTTTGTGTATAGCGTCCTTGACCTTCCTGGGAACTCTCCTGAGACGCTAACCTTTGTGTATAGCGTCCTTGACCTTCCTGGGAACTCTCCTGAGACGCTAACCTTTGTGTATAGCGTCCTTGACCTTCCTGGGAACTCTCCTGAGACACCAACCTTTGTGTATAGCGTCCTTGACCTTCCTGGGAACTCTCCTGAGACACCAACCTTTGTGTATAGCGACCTTCCTGGGAACTCTCCTGAGACGCTAACTTTTGTGTATAGCGTCCTTGACCTTCCTGGGAACTCTCCTGAGACGCTAACTTTTGTGTATAGCGTCCTTGACCTTCCTGGGAACTCTCCTGAGACGCTAACTTTTGTGTATAGCGTCCTTGACCTTCCTGGGAACTCTCCTGAGACGCTAACTTTTGTGTATAGCGTCCTTGACCTTCCTGGGAACTCTCCTGAGACGCTGAGACGCTAACTTTTGTGTATAGCGTCCTTGACCTTCCTGGGAACTCTCCTGAGACGCTAACCTTTGTGTATAGCGTCCTTGACCTTCCTGGGAACTCTCCTGCTAACCTTTGTGTATAGCGTCCTTGACCTTCCTGGGAACTCTCCTGAGACGCTAACCTTTGTGTATAGCGTCCTTGACCTTCCTGGGAACTTCCTGGGAACTCTCCTGAGACGCTAACTTTTGTGTATAGCGTCCTTGACCTTCCTGGGAACTCTCCTGAGACGCTAACCTTTGTGTATAGCGTCCTTGACCTTCCTGGGAACTCTCCTGAGACGCTAACTTTTGTGTATAGCGTCCTTGACCTTCCTGGGAACTCTCCTGAGACGCTAACCTTTGTGTATAGCGTCCTTGACCTTCCTGGGAACTCTCCTGAGACGCTAACTTTTGTGTATAGCGTCCTTGACCTTCCTGGGAACTCTCCTGAGACGCTAACTTTTGTGTATAGCGTCCTTGACCTTCCTGGGAACTCTCCTGAGACGCTAACTTTTGTGTATAGCGTCCTTGACCTTCCTGGGAACTCCCCTGAGACACCAACATTTGTGTATAGTGTCCTTGACCTTCCTGGGAACTCTCCTGAGACACCAACAGTTGTGTATAGTGTCCTTGACCTTCCTGGGAACTCTCCTGAGACACCAACAGTTGTGTATAGTGTCCTTGACCTTCCTGGGAACTCTCCTGAGACACCAACCACAAAACAAACATGGTGACTCACAGTGTTGCCGGGAAGTACACACTATGAAGCTCAACACAGGACCGACGGCCAGACCTAACTATTCCTACACTGTAAGACCATATCCCACTTGCTCCCTCACTCCCTTACCACGTGCCTTGTCCTGCCTGTGAGTCCTCCAATGTGGTTTTCTTACAGCTGTCCTGATTTCACAGGAGAACATTTACTCTCCCCGAGTATTTGGGAGCGTCAAGTCCTAACTGTGTCACTACGTTGGTCTCTGCCACGATGCACAACCACTTGGGCTGGACGGTAGAGCGACGGGCTCGCTTCATGCAGGTCGGCGTTCAATCCCCGACCGTCCAAGTGGTTGGATACCATTACTTCCCCCATCCCATCTCTTCCCCCCGTCCCATCCCAAGCCCATATCCTGACCCCTCTCAAGTGCTATATAGTCGTAATGGCTTGGTGCTTTTCCCTGATAGTTCCCTTCCCCTTGGGACGACCTCACGACCATACCCTCGGCCTCGCCCAGAATGTCTTAGTCAACTTGTTGAAGGTACACACAAACGACAAGGGCGCCACCTCAACAGTTGCTGATAGAGACAGTCGACACTTCCACACGCCACACCAATCTAACTTCCCTTGCCTGTCAAGCACACACATTTCTTCAACCGTCGCCAAGGTTGGCAGCAAGTGGCCCAACAGGTGCCTCTTGCTTCAACTGAGATCACTCCAACTCATTAACTGGGCGAGGCGGACTTACGGAGCTTTAATCCGAGGATTCCCTTTGCGGTAACCGGCCACCGGAAGCGAGGCCTCTCGCCTCAAATGTCACAATAACAAGTGACAAACATAGTCCACCCGCGGACTATGGTTGTCTGACGTTACAGGTTGTTACCCCTTGGTCACTGTAGTTCAAGTGACCGGTAAAGCCAGGTGTGGGAACCGACCTGTGATATTTATATTTATTTAATTTATATATAAATTTATATAGAATTTATATTTATGTTAATTTATATATTTCGATAGCAAATTGTATGATGTTAAGTGGACTGTATTTCTGCAATAATCTCACAAATCGATCCACTATACATTAGGGGGGGGGGTTTATATTGAATTTATATATATGCAGCCAATCAAACTACAGTATTAAACTACATATATTAGCATACATTGTGGAGGTTCCTTATTTTATTATACAGCAGGCTTAGTCCACCAGATATAACTAGGATGTAGACACCAAATTATCCTCTGTGAGGCAGCTTCCATCACCCAGAAACTGATACACAAGCATGCTTCCTCTTCTTGTCCTGTCAAAGGGCGCTAGCTATAAAGCCAGAATCCTAATATATGACAGCTATATCAGAGAAAACACTCTATAATTGATAAAAAAAAGACCAAGGCTTAATTACCTTTTTTGAGTCGATCATTTGTGATCTCACCGGATCGCCCAATATCTACCTAACATTAATGGCCAAAAATGATTAGATAAACGGGTTTCGGAAAGACACCTCCCTTGTATTTGTTGACAGCGTGTTGATGATGGAAGACCACTACTCTGATCTTTGTCACACTTCGTCCAAGAGAATTTATAGGAGCTGTTATTCGCTCCAACGACTCTGGTCTTAACAACAATAGCTGACCACTCCCTCACCACTGACGCTACTGGCCTACTGTGTCCAGATGTCAGTAAGTGATAGAAGGGTCACATTTACTCTATTTTAATACTGATAATTAAATTAATTCAAATGAGATGTTTTATGATGACGGAAAATTCCACTACAAGCTACATTTTCTATGGGTTAACTTGTGTATACAATGCAGCAATATTATCTGCAATTGCATGATATTAGTAATTGGTGTCGGATTTTCCGACATAATTCCCCGGGGGCTGCTCACAGGTCGCACTCCTATTTAGAACAGTCGAACACCGATACTCCTCTTTTGAATTATTAGATTAATTTGTTGTTAGTAGTTAGTAATCACACATTTGTGCGTCTGTTCGTACAGGACGGATGTCCCGTACTAGAGTTGCAGGGGTTAAAAGTCTAATGTGATTTCATTTCCCTGTTAACTCTTGAAAGGCTAAAATTCAAGCCTAAATACACATTATTTAACCCAGAAGACTTATTGTGATCAAGTACTACAGGCAAGTATGATTCAGGGACTGTAGTGAGATCAGTGACATTAGATATAACTTGAAGCTTGTTCAGGTAACTGGTCACTCATATATAAACACTGAGGCACATGGAATACATCTTGATTAAATAATAAATGTATCAAAACCAGTCATCAGATTTATTGGGGTTTAATTTAGTTAATTGATTCAGAGGATTGAATAGCCCATCATTAAAGTAAAGAATGGTTCTGAGACTGCAGTGGGTTCAGTGACATTGGTCGCAGTGACTTGTAGCTGTTTAGGCTACTGTTCACTGATTTGCCACTGAACCCTCATGAACTCATCTTCAGCTTTAAAATGATGATATTAACATCAACCTCTGTTGGTATAATCAGCTGTAATCTCCTTAGTATAATGCTACTGGAGAAATATAATCAGCTGACAAATTTAGATTTCTTCTGGTATTATTTATCTGCAGCCATAGGTCTCCTCAGGCTTGATACTGGGCCTGAGAGTAATTTACCTCCTGCAGAATTTAACATGGTCATGCCCTGATATTTAGTAGGGCTACCGATGAATCGATGGTAGTAGTCTGTCCCTACAAGGAGAGCTATTTGGCATTTGATTTGCTCAAATTTACCTGCAGCTGCTTGATAATAGCTTTCCAGGTCAGCATAATCAACTGGAGATTGTTGTGACAAATCTTCACATTTCTTGATCTGTCTTGTTAAGTGGCCTTTAAGACCTGCAAGGGTTCTTTTCATTCTCCCTGCATTATCCATACTGGCTAGTTGGTGAAGCCTTGTGGGGCTTGTACTTGGGTCGCTCATAATACTGAACAAGTACTAATGGTAGCCTAGGGTAAAATTTCTGCACTCGCTAGGCTGTAATCCTACCTCTACTAGAGGTTAGCACATAAAATTAATACACATTACATAAATATAATCATACACACTAATGATTTGAGTGATAAACCAGTGTCATTGGAAGTACCTTTAGGTTAGCTCTTCTATATCACCCTAGGATGGTATAGACACTAATTAATCACTCAAAGGTGTAATGATCATAATTATTATATATACACAACTCAATTCGAGTTGATAAAAATTACACCCAAAATAGGGTCTGCACCATTCATTAATGGTGCTAGGTTGTTCAATATAGTACAACTAGACTATGGTAATAATGGGACTAGAATGAATAATAAATAGTTCAACTACTCAATGGTAATATGGGACTAGGTTATCTATAAACACTGGTCAATGTATATCCTACCCTGTTGTGGGTTGGCAATTGGTAAATTTTATATTGAGAACACTAGTGCAATATATATTAAATAATTCTCTATTTTGGAAAAATAACATACACAATTATTGATGATAGCCTCTTAATTGCCTCTATGAAACTTCTAATATTATCAAGAAGTATTAAATATTATTAGTGACCTCGCGAAATAAACTCCACAAAATTCGTGGATAATCTTTTGCGAAATTTAACACCACGAAATCCGTGTACAATCTCGCGAAGACACAGCCACTAATTTGGCTGGCTTCAATATTAGCGCTGTCATTTCATGGAAATAACACGCCACCAAATCGGTGGGTGACCAAGAAACTGCTGATGAGGCTGAACTGAACTGAGGGGGTCGTGGGCTACCTCGAGGCAACGCCGCCGTCTTTGACTGGCTTTGTATTGTTATTGTATAAATCACACTGAACTAGTACCAGTGTATTTAATGAATCCACAGGTTAACTGGTTCATCCGGTACTAAGATGACCAAATAATCTGTCATCCGGCTCGAAGATGACCAATAATCTCGGTTCAAAGGATCAAATTAATCTGGTTCGAAGGACCAAATAATGTGGGAACCAACCTGTGAGATATATATTTATATAATTTATATGAATTTATATAGAATTTATATTTACATTAATTTATATATTTCGATAGCAATTTGTATGTTAAGTGGACTGTATTTCTACAATAATCTCACAAATCGATCCACTATAAATTAGGGGGGGGTTATATTGAATTTATATATATGCAGCCAATCAAACTACAGTATTAAACTACATATATTAGTATACATTGCGGAGGTTCCTTATTTTATTAAACAGCAGGCTTAGTCCACCAGATATAACTAGGATGTAGACACCAAATTATCCTCTGTGAGGCAGCTTCCATCACCCAGAAACTGATACACAAGCTTGATTCCTCTTCTTGTCCTGTCAAAGGGCGCTAGCTATAAAGCCAGAATCCTAATATATGACAGCTATATCAGAGAAAACACTCTATAATTGATAAAATAAAGACCAAGGCTTAATTACCTTTTTTCAGTCGATCATTTGTGATCTCACCGGCACGCCCAATATCTACCTAACATTAATGACCAAAAATGATTAGATAAAGGGTTTCGGAAAGACACCTCCCTTGTATTTGTTGATAGCATGTTGATGATGGAAGACCACTACTCTGATCTTCGTCACACTTCGTCCAAGAGAATTTATAGGAGCTGTTACTCGCTCCAACGACTCTGGTCTAAACAACAATGACTGACCACTCCCTCACCACTGACGCTACTGGCCTACTTTGTCCAGATGTCAGTAAGTGATAGAAGGGTCACATTTACTCTATTTTAATACTGGTAATTAAATTAATTTAAATGAGATGTTTTATGATTGTAAAAGTCCAAAGACTAACGTATTTAAGAATAATTCCCAGCAGAATAGCTGGTGAATTTATAATAGAATGTGGCAATGATATCCCGTTTTCTATTGACGGAAAATTCCACTACAAGCTACATTTTCTATGGGTTAACTTGTGTATACAATGCAGCAATATTATCTGCAATTGCATGATATTAGTAATTGGTGTCGGATTTTCCGACACCAGGTCACATTTCATCAGTTC